GAAAAATAGACTCCTTCCATTGCTCTTTGAAGTAGGGATCAAAGAAGACTGTGCCCATTGCTCTTACAAAGTCCCCCACTCGTTCCCATTTCTGCAGTTGTCATAGGAAGTCACTCTCCTTGCTGAGGAGATCAGAGTTTTCTCCTAACGGTTGGAAAGAAAGGAGTTCTCTGTTCTACAGACCCACCCACACCCACTCCAGCAAAGTGGACCACCTCTGGTTTCCACTTGTAGGTCCTGTGTAGGTTACTACGTAAATGCAAACCTCTTGTGCTTTTGAACTTTGAACTTTAGAAACAGTCATTTGGTCAAAATACTTACAAAGGGAATGCCTTTGACTCAAGCAAAATGCTCGCTTCTGGTGGGATTGTCAGCTTTCATGAACAACAAAAAAAATGAGGGCAAACTTCAGACACTAGAAATGTGTGCTTCCCTTCAGAAAACACATCAAACATCTGAACAACGGAAGTCCATAATTCAAGCCTTCCCTTTGCATCATTTGTGTCAACAAGGCCAATAGTCACCAGCTGAGTCTTAGTCTTTCTCCGTCACAGTAAACCAAGAAGAAGCAACAACTCGGTGGGCAAAACTCGAAAGCTATGGAGATCATCTCCATAAGCATCAGCAGAAAATCTTTACCTGCTTCTCCACTGGAACTGAATTTGGAAGGTGGAGGAACCAGTTCTGGATATGGTGGAACATAACTCTATTTGGAACCAAAGGATGAAAACAAATCGCTGTGCAATCTATTGCTGGTGTGCTTACTTCTGTGTGGCCAGAATGTCTGCTATATAAATCTGTAAGGAAACTATTCCACCCTTCAGAAGGAAACAAACCTGTCCAGCAACCTCAGCCGATCAAGAAAAGGAAAATGCAAAATAAAATATTCTTTGGGGAGCTTAGGAAAAGTCATAGAGGTGGAATTCTCACAGTTCAACTCGGCTTTCACTGAATTGTGCCTGTTCAACTTGAAAACACATTCTCATGGCCAACCTACTGTATATTTTATATGAGGTTTTGCCCATGATGAGTGACCGCATTGAAGATTACCAATGGTGGATTCAGAGCAAAGATTATTGCCTCCTTCCAAGCAATAAATTTCTTCCAAAAGATAAATGTTCTTTTCTTAAAGAAACAAAAAAAAGGGGGGATGGACAATTCTTAAAAAAATAGACAAGAAAACATAAAAAATAATAATTTATTGGCAGTTTACAAACAGGTCTCATTTAATATTATGAATGTAACGTTGGGACCAAAATATTAAGCAAGGTTGCAAAGAAAACCAGACCAGTTTCTTTACCAATTGTTGCATCCATAATGGTTTGTTCATACAAGCAAGCCACCTTGAACATTTGGTATTTGATGAATGAAGATGCATATCAAAACCTGGGTTTTAATTAGGCTGTCTTAAACTGTAGCATTTGAAAACATGAACACAGCATTGTCTTGCTCAAGTTTGTTTCTTTATTTGGTGACTAAATATGGCACTTTAAATATTTTCCCAGATTAATTCTGACCCTTTCTACTCGCACTTACTTGAAGGTCCTGTGGATTTCAAGAGCTGATGCTTCCAGGTAAATGTACTTTTGACATCTTTGTGTGTTTCTTATATTTCATCCCTACCTACCTACCTACCTACCTACCTACCTACCTCTATCCATCCATCCATCCAGGTATCCATGAATTCATGAATCCATCCATCCATCCATCCATCCATCCATCCATCCATCCATCCATCCATCCATCCATCCATCCATCCATCCATCCATCCATCCATCCATCCTCTTCCACAGCTGCAAGGCATATTTATTGGGCTCTTCTTCACTTTAGATTAATAATCTCTGGTTGAGTCATTGCTCTCACTGCCTTCACTTATGGATTCACTGTCGCTCCCCGCATCTTCTGATGGAGTGCTGCTGTTGCTCGCCCCAGATTCACTGTCACTTGCATTTTCCGTTGTATCCATTGAGTCACTGCTGGCAGTGTCATTTTCAGTGCTCAGAGGCGCGCTGCTCTCACTCTCGCTGCTGCCATTAGATTCACTGTCATCCTCATCGCTACCATTGGATTCACTCTCACTCTCAGCACTGCTGCTATCATTTTCATTATTGCTGTCAGAATTGCTTTTGCTCTCACTGCTGCTGCTTTCACTGCTGCTGCTGCTGCTGCTACTACTACTACTACTGCTGCTGCTGGATTTGTCACTCTCACTGCTGCTCTCAGATTTGCCATCACTCTCACTGCTACTACTGCTGTCACTTTCACTGCTGCTCTCAGACTTGTCACTCTCACTGCTGCTGTCACTCTCACTGCTGCTCTCGGAATCACTTTTGCTCTCACTGCTGCTCTCGGAATCACTTTTGCTCTCACTGCTGCTCTCGGAATCACTTTCACTCTCACTGCTGCTCTCAGAATCACTCTTGCTCTCACTGCTGCTCTCGGAATCACTTTCACTCTCACTGCTGCTCTCAGAATCACTCTTGCTCTCACTGCTGCTCTCGGAATCACTTTCACTCTCACTGCTGCTCTCAGAATCACTCTTGCTCTCACTGCTGCTCTCAGAATCACTCTCACTGCTGCTCTCAGAATCACTCTTGCTCTCACTGCTGCTCTCAGAATCACTCTCACTGCTACTCTCAGAATCACTCTTGCTCTCACTGCTGCTCTCGGAATCACTTTCACTCTCACTGCTGCTCTCAGAATCACTTTCACTCTCACTGCTACTCTTTGAATCACTGTCACTTTCACTATTGCTCTCAGAATCACTCTTGCTCTCACTGCTACTCTTAGAACCGCTTTCACTTTCGCTGTTGCTGTCAGAATCACTGTCACTCCCAGATTCGCTGCTACTCTCAGATTGGCTTTGACTGCTGGCTGGTTGACTGTCACTCTCCTTGCTGCCTACTGCGCCATCCTCTGGTTGACTTCCACTGTCTCCCTCATTGCTCTCAGATGGTTCATTGCCCTCATTCTCATTAGCACTTTGTTCCGAGTCCTCTCCATTGCTCCCATCAAGAGAGGGATCTTGCTGGCTACTGTTCCCTGTGTCTTCAGACCCCTGGCTTTCATGAGGCTCATCCCCTTGCATTAATTCATCGCTCAAACTATAAACGCTGTTGCTTTCATTTGCGCCGGTCTCCTGGACGCCACTGCTGTCCTCTGAATCACTTCTAGGCTCAATCCTCTGCCTGCCTGCACCCTGAGAGCTGGTCGCCTGCTCACCCTTGGCCTTTCTGTTGCCCGGGACTGGGTTTCTGCCATTTTCATTTTTGTTCCCACCATTTGCAGCGCCATTGGTTGTAGCTCGATTGCTACTATCTGCATCCTGGAGACCAAAAGGAAGAAAACATCCATGGAATGGAAATAAACTGTGAGACCATGAGCAACATACATTTGTTGAGATCTGCACATGCTCAGAGGCAATGTCCACTGTGACTTCCAGTGCCCCAGCAAAAAACTAAAGCTGACATACTTTGGGTAGAGGCGAATGGAAACTTTGTTCTAGTTTCTTTTTTTATAAGCATTTGCCAAATTTTGGAAACCCATCCACTCAGTGCTTTTAAAAGTCTGGGTTTTAAACCTGAGGTGTTTAACCATCTTAGAGCTGGATTAAGGTTGCCACATTTTTTATATAAAAGAGGCATCTCATCTCTAATACCTAGATGCCTGTCAGGTGCAAGATGGGCTTCCCTCTGCTGGATACAGCTGCCTCTGTTGTATTTGGCTGGTGAAAATTGGGTAGAACTTTGTTTCCAGTTGTTTATAAATAATTTGACAAAATTCACAAATTGCTTCATTGTGGGGAGAGGGAGGATTTGAAGTTCAAGAAATTGAAACGTAGGAAAGTAGAAGCCACTTATAGGTACTCAAAAAGGTGTGGTTTGGGGTGCCCTGGGGGAAAATTGGTTCATTTGACATGTGGTTACCAGGGGAAAAAAGTGTGAAACGATTTTACCTCACAATGCGCCAAATTGCAGGACAAATGTCCTTCTGACAAACTTTGTCAGGAGTGTCTACTTTTTTTCTGTGGGTTGGTGTGCTCTCGTTTAGTACATCCCCAGCATGTGCAGTCACGACCAAGGCACCTTCTGGTTTAAATTTTTTGTATTGTTGAAGTGGTTTAATAAACAAGCCATTTCAGGTTATTGGCAAATTGAACATTTCTCCTGCTCCTCTGTGGAGGGGCAGTGGAAGTGAAATTAATTTTGAGGGGTTTTTGCATCTGCTAGACCATCACTGATGCACTGAATCATTTAGATTAAATTTTTTTTAAAAAAATATTTTGCTTTTGTGCGAAGTGGCAATCAAAACCATGACTGTAGGCAGTTTCTTGATTGGCACTACAAATAACTTTTTAAAATTTCATCTAAGTGATTTGGTACATCAATGATGCTCTAGTGTTTATTTTCTCTCCCGCATCACCCCTGATTCTGGTATAGATATTTTGTCAGAAGAAATGGAGTGAGCAGGCATGTTTGGGGGTTCATGCGCTTGGAGCTTAACAAAAACCTTGCAACTTAAGAAAGCAATGAAAGATTTTGGGGTGGGATTCCCTCTTCTTCTTTTCTTCTGGGGGGGGGTTGTTGTATGTAAAAGAGAGACAGAAAAAAATGAGCATGGCTGGCTGGAAGGCAAAGTGCGAATGGTTCTGTGTGTGTGGATCCACAGCAGAGTACTGTATTAAGAGTCTCTTTTAATTTTATATGGACACAACGATCCTGTTGGGAAGGTCTTGTGTTTGGATGCACACACACACTTTCCTTTTTAAACTGCACCCTTCAAGCAATCTCTGTGTGTGTGTGTGTGTGTGTGTGTGTCCACAAAGGGGGGGAATTCCTTTCTTTTGTTCCCACTAACGAGATCAGGGTTGGGGGTGGGAGATTGGCCAGTGATGGGTTGCTTCCCGCACCACCTCCAGCACCCCCATGCATAGTTTGCCTCTCTCTTTCTCTGCCTTTGCTGCCTTTCCAGTCTTTGCCTGTCTCTTAAACTTTGGCTTGGCACAAACCTGCCATTCATGATACTGGAAATAGGGTCAGTTGAGGTCGATATGGCATTTGGACATGAGGATCGCACCAAATGGTATATTGCTTCTCTCCCTGGCTTCAACCAACCCTATTTAGTTTTGCACCAAAAGGGCCGGTCTGGATATGGCCAAAGTGGCTACCAGGCAATCTAACTACAGTGGTGCCTCGAATAGCGAGCGCCTCTATTAACGAAAAAACCGAATAGCGATGTGGTTTTCGGGGCATTTTTAAGCCTTGATTAGCGATTTTTCCTATGGGCGATTATCGGATAGCGATCTTCAATGGTTTCAATGCATTTCAATGGAGGAACCGCGGTTCGTGTTCGCTACTTTTAAAGGGTTTAAAGTTAAGGTTTTCTGTTTGAAATGTTTGAGATCGTAAAGTGCAGTTAATAAACTCTGTGTTAACCCAATTTGACTTTGTTCTGACTCTTTGTTAATTTGTGGTTGATTCCCCCCCCCTTGAGATGCATTGAATAGGGTTCAGTGCATTTCAATGGGGGAACCGCATTTTGAATAGCGAGGTTTCCTATGGAGCTTTTCCATTAACGACGGCAATTCGTTCCAAGTGGAACGGATTAGCCGGCTTTCAATGCATTTCAATGGGAAACCACATTTCAAATAGCGAGTTTTTTTAATAGCGATTTTTTTAACAGAATGCATTAACCTCGCTATTCAAGGCACAACTGTACATGAATAGGGCTCGTCTGCCTGTTGATCATAGAGCTCTATTTTAAGAATGTCAGAGGAATTAAGATGAGTTGCAGGTGCCTTTCTCAAGACATTCTATCCCCTTGAAATGCAGAACAATGTGTTGGAAGGGAGATATTCAGATCTGTCCTACTTCTCCATAAAATGTAGAACAACAATTATATGCTGCGCTTACCCCATTCCTGGTATTTTCAATGACTGTTGGTTGTTGGACATTTTGTGCACTTGTATCTTCATTATCTTGGGAGGTCTGTTGCTCACTGGTATCGAGCGAATCATCCATGTGGCTTCCTTCACTCTCTCCTCCTGTATTGGGATTGCTTATTTCTGTACCATCACCATCAGCTGGACCGTTGCCTCCATTGTTCTGCTCTTCACTCTCATTTCCCCCAAGATCTGGTGTCCCTTCTGAATCTTCATCTCCCCTGCCATCAGTGGAACCTTCTTCCTCGGGATTTTCACCATTACCACTGCCACCTTCTGTGATGTCTACCCAGTGTGCACGTTCTCCATTGACTTTTGTTCCCAAAAATGTATCTGTTGTGTTTCCTTCAGGGCCTTGACTCACCTGGTCACCTCCCTCTGTACCAATCGGATTCTGAACTTGGTCAATCTGTTCTCCTGTAGTGTCACCGCCATATCCTGCATCAGCTGTATTGTTAACCTGGGCTTGTTCTCCATTACTGCTCACATTATTTTGACCGATCTCAGAAAGTTCTGTCTGGGCTGTATAATTAACATATGCTTCTCTTATTCCACTACTGGCATCACCATTTTCCAAGTTATTCCTAAGGGTCTCTCCTCCACTCATTTCTATGGCAGTATCTTCTGTATTGCTGCTTATTCTCACATGGCTAGGATAGTTTATGGATCCTCCATCCCCATTACCACTTTCATTAACAACATCAGCAGTTGCATTGACCACATCTGCATTCATGATGGGTTCTTTTCTTCTGCATTGTTCATGATGACCAACACCATCACCTCCTTCACTGATACAACTGTTATTTTCAATGGTATTTCCTTGGTTGCCATTGTCATAAAATCCTGTGTTGTTCGCTGCACCATCATGTGCTCTGTTATGAATTGTATTCAATACATCCTATGAAGAAATACAAGATCAGGAGACAGAAATAAAAGAAAAGCTGAGCCAGAGGGGGAGACTCCAAGTGTGAGCTGTGCAATCGGGATTTGTTTTGTATTATAGATTTTTTTACTTTACATTATACCACATGATAAGAATAGCCACTTGATTAGTGTGAACCCAAGCTTACAAAATGAACTGTACTAGCTTCCTTAGGATGACAGTCAAGTTATTTGCTTGTAGGGTTCCTGGAGACATCTAACGGGCCACTGTGAGAATTAAAATTGCAGATTGCTAGACTCAGAGTTATAGACCCGGAAAGTAATTTTCTACAGCTTTGCTGCTCAGTTACAGATGACTTCAGCTTATCTTTATATTATTTTCCCCCTCTTAAAACTAGATGTACATCTGAAGCTAACTTGCTGTCTTCAACTGCAGTAGAGGACATTGTTCCATAAGCAACACTGAAGAAAACTGAACTTCCATTTTGACAGCTTTCAACTCTGGACAGCAGGAGCCCTATCTTGTTCTTCAATTCCAAATATCTAAGGCCAACTTTGCCAAGCTTGAAAAGAGCCTTGTTTGGATAAAACTAGGGGAGCCAGGGTGTTAAGCTTATGTATTTGTTTAAAGCTTCTATAAAACCTCAAACACTGTCTTGTTTCATTTGAATTCTTAAAAACAACACTATTATTTATTGTATCTTTCTGTCTCTCATATTCTCTTATCTGTTTTCTTCAAGCAGTATGAATATATTTGCAATAATCTTTCTCTGAGCCATTTTTATTCTCTAAAAATTTTCTCCTCAGTGACCAAAATAATAGGACTCGGTGTGTTCTGACTGGTGAACAAGCTGCAGTTAAACTTGTTTGGCCTTGAGCAATGGGTACAATGGCAGGTGGGTGGGCTGTTTTCAGGAGTAAGGCCGCGTGCTAGAACCTGCGACAAGAGCTAAAACGGGAATTCAGTCCTGCACAGACAGGAAAACCACTGTTCCTTAATTATTAGTTTCCCAGGAAGTGCCAATTTAGGCCTGGGCGAAAGGTTAGATTTCAAAGAAGTGTGCGGGATCAAAGCGACACATCTGGGTGTAAAGATAGCATCACCTGACATTTCTGTTTATTTCAACAAGAAGAACCACCAGAAGAGTAGCACTATTAAGTCTGTTGCCCCACCATTTTCTCAGCTCTTCTCCTACCTGTCAGAGGCTAGCTAAGTTGTTCTGACTTAAACTGTCTGATAAAATCCTCTTCTCTGTTTAAAGCGCCCAGGTCAACAATGCCCCATTCCTGGAACTTTCTGGGCCACAGAGATATAATGGAACACCAAAGAGGTGTGTATATATACATCTCAAGGGGCTAAATTGTCCCTTGAAGCAAGAGAGAAAATAAACCAGTACCATGCTGGTCATAATGACTCAAGTTCTTGAGACATTCGTCCCAGGATGTAAACCATGTGACAATGATTCAATACGACACAGGTATGGGAAGTATCAGAAGAACTAGAAAACATGGCCATCATAAGACCAGGGCCTGACTGTAGCAGCCAATGAGCTTTGTATCAACACAGGTAATACAAGAAGATCTTTTAAAGTCAACTTAGAGCGATGTGAGACACGTTACACAGCACAAACCATTCTGTCTCCTGAAAGATGTGCCAAACTAAAAACTCTAGATGAACAGCTTGGAGGATGTCCTATTGAGCCTGTAACATTCACCCCCTGAGGCAGTTAAGTCACTCTGCCTCATGGTGTGGCCAACCTTGAATGAGGGGTGTCGTGATACAAGAAAAAACAGTAGTACACCATATAATGGTTAAATTTAACCTGTTACTGATATCATTCTGTAAATTTAGATCGAGAAAACATCCACTGTATTAATAGCAGGATCAGACATGTTGTTTATCTTCCACCTTGTGCATACCAACTGCTTCTTCTTGCTTGCTGCTTATATTAAGTGCTTACTGGCATCCAGATTGGTGCCAGACACCCCAACAAAGTTGTTTTGCCATTTTGAAGAGATATCATGACATTTACTGTATATAGACTATCCACAGCTGCTGCCTGAGGGACAGTGGTTTCTATCAGCAGATCTGTAGACCACGGGGCCACATTATGCTATAGGTAGGACTTCTTTTCTTCCTTGTCTTTCGCTCACACTCACCAAATAGACTCATATCTGCAGCCCAATATTGCCAGCCTGTTCCTTTGTATTTTCTTTCCAATTGAGGAGTTCCTCAGTGAGTCAGATTTAAGACAAGCATGAAACATTGTGCAAATATACTAAACTTAATGAGGGGGTTGACTACACAAGCAGTTAGCCCACCATTTATTTGGTCCACTGCAGGGACAGGCTGGTTAGTCCTAAAGCCAGAAATCAAATGACATATTTGTTGGAGTGAACCAGCCTCCCCACCCCCAAGTGTTCCTACCCACTCCTTTCTGGCCCCTGTCAGGGACATCTACTATTTTGGTGTGAGTAGCATCTCTCCGTTTTGGTTCATTTCCAGCATGTGTGATCAGTGGAAACAAACCAAAGTGAGATGGCAACTTGAAGCTTCCTGCTTCAATTTGCTGAATGGTTTTCAATTTCCTCATATTATTAGTGGTTTATACCAACAGTTTCACCACATAATGATATGGGATAACCAAGAAATTGAACATCTCTGCCTGTGGAGCAGAGGGAGGAAGCAAAACATTTTTTAAAATTCTCTGTGCCTTTCAAAGCAATTTTTTAAAAATGAAAAGCTTCCTCCTGAAAGTGGAAGGTGGCAAAAGAAGGCAAGATGCATGACTTTTCCCCTTTTCTTTACAGCCCAGGAAGTTAGCTATAAAGAAAAAAAAGAAAAAAATCTCCATCTTGCCTCCTTCTTTCTCCTCCCACCTCCAGGAGGAAGTCTTCAATTATTTTATATCCTCTGAAAAGGTATGGCAAACCAAATAGGGTTGCTATGCCATGTGGATGCAAAGATGGTACTACATGGCATACCTGACCTTAAGTTCGTTTAGCTCACACCACCCCACTCCAGCCAAGCCATGTGGCAAAGCCCTAAGACAGACAGTCTTGAATGCATGTAAGAGGAAGTGTCACAATGATCCTGCAAAATCAAGTCATACAGATACAAAGAGGTTTTGCAAATATTTGCTTACCTGATTTGCCCTGATGCTATGGTCATTTCTTTGGTCATTTGGTGAGAGCTTGTAAAACACAAAACATAGATGAAAAGGTAACATTAGAAATTAATTACAGGCAATAATAAGCATATAAGACACATGAGTTTTGTCTGATTTGTAAGCAGAATGAATTATATGAAAATTTTTCTTGAACTAAGCAGGACATTAACAGGTTACAAAGGTACTGATTTAATCTGAGCATCCACCAACACAAATAACTATTTGAGTAAAAACAAATATATTTTACACATTGTCATTTTTATTCAGTGCATGGACCTTAGCCATCTGGATGTTCATATCTTCTTCCTGTTTTTCATATAATAATTATTTACCAATCAGCAATTTTTCAAACATAAATATCTGACAAATAACAACATATATAAAGAGCAGACTCCCCTGCAACAAGCCACCAATAATCAACTTTTCTTGCGCATGAGCAGGGAATCCTTTGAAAAGATATGGCATGATAACATAGTAGTGAAACAATGGCATAGAAGCCTTTTGCACATCTTTTATGAGACCTAACAGGCTAGAAAAGTTGCAGTTAGGTTCTGTATACTGAAGAGCTTGGAAAAGTTCCTTTTAGAGGTGACAATTTCCTGTCTGTGCTTCCTGGAGGGTTGTAATAAAAAAAAAACACAACCAACCAACAAACAAAAAAACAAACCTCTCTTTATTGATGACCTTGCCAGTTGCTTGGCTTCGTTATGCCACATACTGCAACCTTCTGTATAGTCTGTTGGAGTTTTATTTGCAACCTCGCATGCTGCCTGTTGTTTGAGTGACTGGGAGGAACTCTTTTGGCCTTGGTTGCAACCTCGCATGCTGCCTGTTGTTTGATTGACTGGGAGGAACTCTTCTGGCCTTGGGTGACTGTCAACCTGTTCAGCACTAACCAATCATTCCATCACATGCTCTGAACTCAAAGAGAGCCCCATCTCCCTGCTGAGTGTTCCTTTCCCTCTCTTTAGTCTGTTGAAGGTGTTTGCTATTTGTTTGCTGTTGATCTGTGTGTAATTGTAAGCAATGAAACTGTGACAGAATCCCAGCCAATTTTGCCTGGTAACAGGAGAAATAAGAGGATTGGCTGGGGAATGAAGGAGGTAAGTCTATCCAGGACAGCCTGAAGGTGGAGGAGCCAGACATGCTGAAGAGAAGGGGAGAAGTTAATTTGTATCTGGAGACTATGGTTATACTGTATTTTAGCAGCAGGCTGTAACTTAAGAAGAGCTTATATTGAACTCCATTTTCTTCATCAGTTGTTACTTTATAATAAAGAATATATCATTTTTTTAATTCTTTAATCCTTTGATCTAGTATGTTTATGGATGAAATCAAACCCTTTAAAAGCAGGTTATTTTTTAAAGTGGCAAGCCTAGGTAGAGGCTGGTCACAGAGACGTATCTATTCTTTCCCCTACAAATGTCTCAGAATGAGTTGTTGGGGCCTTAAGTGCCTGTTAATGAGAAAGGGGTGGACTATCTGGGGAACTTGTAGCTATTCTCCTCTTGGAGTCTCTGTACTTCCTACTGCAGAGCAAAATGAATTTTGCCACAAATTCAAAACTCTGCAGCATAGACATCCCTCTGCCATGCCGGTAACTATTTCTAGTTCTCTTAAAGTATAATGATGTATAATGAAATGCTACCTAACAGCCATTCCTTTCATGTGAGGCTGTATTCCTTTGTAGCAATGCACACATCTTACTTCCCATCTGTGTCAATGAACAGATCTCACATTTCTCAAAGACAGCTATTTTGGGGGATGGGGGGGAACTTACTGGGGCTGCCCAGGCCGTTGTAACAATGCAAAGAAACACAATTGTTCTCTTCATCCTCATTGGCACGGACAGTCTGACCTTACACATGAGCTGCAAAGAAACAAATGATTTACTGAATGATAAATCCAAACATACATTCTGTGCTGGTTTCCAGCAAGTGAACAGTACCTTTTTCCAGGATATACCATCGCCTTCTTTTCTCTCTTTTCCATTTTCCCAGCTAAGACCATCAGCAATGCGTACTGTGCCCTTTGATGAAGCTCACTCCTCATTGGGTAGCTGGGTTTCGTTTGTGCCACAATCATGTTTTATTTTCCCTCCGAGACTGTGGTTTTTTTCCCTTTACACAAACCTTGAGGCTCCCTTTAAGCCTGGAGAGGCATCTTGGTCTTTTAGCTTTCCAAGGATCAGTAGGACTGGAGAATAAGCCCACAAACTAGTCATAAGAACAACGAGCTGAAATGTTCACACTCAGTAGAGTCAACCCTCAGCAGAGTCAACCCTATAACAAGTCAACCCTTCATCTGTTTATTGTAACCAAACTACCCATTAAGAATGGCAGTTAACAATATAACAAAAAAACAACAACAACAAAGCAAGCAATTATTAGTCCACTGTACCCATTATCATCTATCATTTCAACTAGTCTCTAAGGTGGTCTTTTCAAAGAGCATTCCTTTTTCAGAGGTCGGAAAAGTTTCTTTTCTTTACTACCCCTCTCAAAATTCATGGGTGTTGCTTTGCTAACTGGAGGTTCTGACTGTTGTTATCCAAAAACAGTAACTTTTTGTGTGGAGACCCTTTTTAACTGGAGATGCTAGGGCCTGAAACGGAGGCACCCAAAATTTATTCCCTAACACTGAGGTCTAGTCTTTCTCTATGTCACCATTTCAAGACCCTACTGCACTCTTCCAGCTGAGCAGACTTCTTTTCTAAGTTCCTCCAGATAGTAGCTAAAGATGTTCCTTCACTTCAATAAGATTTTACTGTTTGTTTCATTGATCCAGCTATTACTTCAGTTTGGGTCTCAGTACTGGAGAGTCTGCATTGATCTTAGGGGCTGTTCTAAGTACATTTAAAACATGCATATTATAGTATTTTATGTGTGGTTTAACACAACCCATTCTGAGTAGAATGAGATAGAACTGAATCATTATTGGTATTACTAGATTTCCCTAAGCAGCCTTGATTTAAACTGTCTAAATAGTAATAGGCATATCTTGGAATCAAAGCTACATAACTAGCTATAATGGATGATGGAGCATTTGGTGAGATCTGCCTGGGCTCTTCTTAGATTGTCATGGTTGAAAATTGTCATATCTTGATCTGCTTGAATGGTCCACTATGCAGTTGAATAGCATAAATCCTGGTCAATGAACTGGGAATTGAGCAGTTTATCCCTGCATACAGGATAAGGATATGAGAGTTTGTAAAACTCACACTTGTCCAAGCTTTCTGATTTGCATTTTGGAGCTCTTTCTTGCTTGTGTCACCTACGGATTTGTTTGTGCATGTGTAATGTCATGCATATATTCAGGTACTTTAAAAAAACTGGGATGTGGTGGCGCTGCGGATTAAACCGCAGAAGCCTCTGTGCTGCAAGGTCAGAAGACCTGCAGTCATAAGATCGAATCCACGTGACAGAGTGAGCTCCCGTCACTTGTCCCAGCTCCTGCCAACCTAGCAGTTCAAAAGCATGTAAATGCAAGTAGATAAATAGGTACCACCTCAGTGGTAAGGTCATGGCATTCCGTGTCTAGTCACGCTGGCCCCATGACCACAGAAACTGTCTATGGACAAACGCTAGCTCTATGGTTTGGAAATGGGGAAGAGCACCGTGCCCTAGAGTCAGACATTACAAGACTAAATGTCAAGGGAAACCTGTACCTTTAAAAACTGTATCCAGTAATTGTGCACATTTTCCAAATGCAAACATCTTATTCCATTGTTTAAAGCACATTTCTGTGTATATACTCCATTTCAGAAGTATATCAATATTTCATGCACACTTTTCAAATACATGTATAGTTCAAAAGCTTTGTCTCTCTAAGCAAATCACATGGCAAGCTCAGAAATCTACAGACCCCCATATTGTGTATTGTATTTGCATCCATACTCAGTTCTCAGGAATGCAAATGGAAAAACCAAAACTCAGAATAGATTTCTCACCCAATCATAATGCAAGATTAGTTTCTTAATTTTCTGAGAAATTGTCTCAGCAAGCAATAGTACATACATTCAAGGTTTGCTATAATGAAGCCTAAATGGAACGTTGCAGGGGAATCCCATGATCTGTTCATACTTCCCTATCTCATCTAAGATTTGCATCAGTTAAAATACTGCTTTGTATTTTAATTTGAATTGGGCTTGAGTCTATTGAAGCTTATGCCACATGCATACACAACTGTGAATCATTAAGGCATCACAAGACTCTTCTGATCTTTTAAGCAAAATAAAGAGCTAATGGTCAAGAATGGGGATTACTTACCTTGGTCTCCAAGAAAAGCAGCACCTTCTATACCTGGAATCACTGCAACAAGTCCAGCAGAAGCTTTGCTGGCCACCTTTGAACCTTCTGAAATTTAAACTCTTGCTTGGGCATCATACTAACCAATCATTGCTCTTAGGGTGGTGGGAGACACAACGTTGGCAGTGAAGTACATATTAACTGCCCACGTTCCCTTAACTGGACAAGAGAGATTCATACCCCCAAAAACCAGCTTGGTTCCAATGTGACTAGACTGCTTTCCTTCTGCTTAATTAAAAAGTTCTCATGAAACCAGTTTAGCATCTCTTAAATATATAGAATCAGCTGGCTAAAGTAATCAGCAGTGCCTCCAGACACGGTGACCCAGACATTTTCCCATTGTGGTTGTCCAACTTTATAATCTGCAACTTTCTCCAGTTAATCGCCATTCTCGATAAAAACGGTGCTTGGCTTGAGATGGGCATTGATTAAGGGAAGGGCCATGAGAGAGGATGCGTCGTGATAAATCCAGAGATTGTTGATGTGTCCTGATAAATCCAGACTTCCCTTGTGAGAATTATTTTAAAAGTCAGTGAAGTGTGAGAGAACATGTCGTTCTCTCACACACGTACAGGAAGACCTGTACAGTCAGGACCTGCAGATCTGACTGTACAGGAAGGCAATGCTCCTAACAGAGGCCCTTCAGGATGTCTCAACCTGGAACCCTCTAGATGTTTTGGAATCCCATAATTCACACCCAATCGCTAGGAGCTAGAAACTGGAGTTCCACATATCTGGAGTTAAGTGGGGCTATTACAGATTTGTTAGAACATTAAGAGTAAGCAAAGCAAAAGCAAAGTGTGCTGCTTATATACCATCCCATAACACTGAAAGCACTTTCTGGGTGGTTTACAGGTTTTAATTACAGTGGTGCCTCGCTAGACGATCACAATCTGTTCCACTGAATTGCTGTTTAGCGAAATCATTGTCTAACGAAAAGCATTTCCCCACTGGAATGCATTGAAATCTGTTTAATGCCTTCCAATGGGGAAGAATCATCGTTGTCTAGCGAAGATCGGCCATAGGAAAGCCGCTTTGCGAATCGCCGATCAGCTGTTTAAATCGCTGTCTTGCAAAGCTTAGGTCCCCAAAACACCTGTTTTGCGAGCTCGGAGGGAGCTGTCAAAATCGCCGTCTAGTGAAACTTGGTTTGCGAAGCAGGGACCAAACATTGTCCAACAAAATTCCCCCATAGGAATCACTGCTTTGCAAATCACTATAGCGATCACAAAAAGTCAATGTCTAGCGAAACAACTGTCATGCGAGGTAACTGTCTAGCAAGGCACCACTGTATGCAGGCTACACATTCCCTACCCCCAATGAGTTGGGTACTCAGTTTATTGACTTCAGAAGAATGGAAGGCTACTGAGCAGGCTATCTGAGCCTGTCAAACTGAACTTAGGTCATGAGCAAAGTCTTGACTGCAGTGTGTGTGTGTGTGTGTGTGTGTGTGCGTGCGTGCGTGCGTGCGTGCGTGCGTGCGTGCGTGCGTGCGTGCGTGCGTGCGTGCGTGCATGTTTAAATCTACAAAAAATGTTGGATATTCAAGCTACCTAACTTGAATACTATCAATGTCTAGTTCATTCATGGCTTCAAATTTAAGTTCAGTTTCACCAAATTCTGAATTAAAAAATCATTGTTTTGGTGAACTGCCATGTCACCTGTCTGTTTGAACAATTGCCTTGTTTATTTTATAGCTTTTTCTTGCTTTATTATTGACTCATCCAAACCAACATCGAGTGCAAAAGTCATTCAGATCAATCAATAAAAACGAATAAAAGTGAAACATCAGACCCTCTAATCTTCCCAGTCATCTTTAATAACAGTTTTAAGTGCACTGCTAAAGCCTGATAAGAACTCGCTTGTGGTTTTTGCCTTAATTAATCATAATCCTAAAGAAGATGACTTTTCACTCAGATAATCTTACTTAAATCACATGCAAACATTTATCAAATGTATTACTTATACTCTGTCTTTTAGAAAGAAAATCCCTCAGAATATTTCTGTAAAATTAAAATAAGAAAAAATAATTTTCAAAATAGGGTAACTAAATTGGCAAAAAATTAGCACATTCAAGAACACAGAATCCATTTTAGAAGTAAAATGATTAAGATTAAATGATTAGCTAGATCTGATAAACACTGGGCAAAACCTGCCTGGAGACAATATTTCACAGTTAGGATGATAGTACACTTTTGAGACCTCACCTCAAAGGGAAGCTACAAGAGAGCTTGAAACAACTCATGTTTTCCTGGGTTCCCACAGGTAATTCTACAGCTACAGGTAGTTAAAAGCTTATGTAATGGGTTGCCATGCCAGAAGGATCATATTCCCTGAGATTCCAGTAAGTCCTTATGATATTAAAGAGGTAGGGCAGGCAAAGTGTGGAGGCAAACTGCTTCAAGCCAGCTGTCTGTGGAAATGGGCATGAAGGGGAGCCATGTAAATGAGCCCAGAATCTAGTTGTTGTTGTTTAGTTGTTAAGTCGTGTCTGACTCTTCGTGACCCCATGGGCCAAAGCACACCAGGCCCTCCTGCCTTCCATTGCCTCCCGGAGTTGGGTCAAATTCATGTTGGTCGCTTCATGATGACACTGTCCAGCCATCTCATCCTCTGTTGTCCCCCTTCTCCTCTTGCCCTCACACTTTCCTAACATCAGGGTCTTTTCCAAGGAGACTTCTCTTCTTGTGAGATGGCCAAAGTCTTGGAGCCTCAGCTTCAGGATCTGTCCGTCCAGTGAGCACTCAGGGTTGATTTCCTTCAGAATGGATCGGTTTG